CAGCATAGGCCACGGTCATGGGAGGCCAGGGTTGGGGTCCAGGGGGGGTCGGGTCTCCCCCCACCACTGACCGAAGCCTCTCCCTGCAGTGCGGCAGCATCGCCCCCCAGGCCTGGACACCCAGCTCTGAGCCATGACGCTGCTCACCCACCTCCTCGCCTGCGCCTTCGGCACGGGCTCCTGGGTGGCCATCAACGGGCTGTGGGTTGAGCTGCCGCTGCTGGTGACGGTGCTGCCGGAGCAGTGGGACCTGCCCTCCTACATCACCATCATCATCCAGATGGCCAACGTGGGGCCACTCTTTGTCACCCTCATGCACCACTTTCGGCCTGGCGTGCTGAAGGAGGTGGCCGTTATCTACGTGGTTGTGTCTGTGGGTGTCGTGGCCTGCTTGCTCCTGGCCTTCCTCTGGAACTACACATCCGTCATCTCTGGGAGGCTCCACAGCACCGCCTTCCTTGTCCTCACCTTCTTCCTGGCCTTGGTAGACTGCACCTCCTCCGTCACCTTCCTGCCCTTCATGATGCAGCTGCAGCCCCAGTACCTGACCACCTTCTTCATCGGCGAAGGGCTCAGCGGGCTGATCCCTGCTCTCATCGCCCTGGGCCAGGGCTCCGGCATCTCCAGCTGCGTCAACGTCACCAAAGTGGTCAACATCACCACCGACAGTGAGACCGTGGAGACCACCATCTCAGTGGTGGAGAACCGCTACCTCCCAGCCAACTTTTCCACCTTCTTCTTCTTCCTCCTCATGACTGTGATGATGCTGACTTGCTTGCTGGCCTTCTTCTTCCTCACCAGGCAGCCCAAGGTGTGGGAGCTCTCCCAGCAGCAGCTATTTCCCAGCAGCATCATACTGAGCTCATTTGACCAGATGCCCAGCGAGGGAGCTGGCTCGCAGCTGAGCAGAGCCTGCCCGTGCCCAAAGGATGCCAAGGGGCACAGGGACATTCTGCCGCAGAAGGTCTCCTCCTCCCTGGCCAAGCTCTCCATCTACCTCCTCATCGCCTGGGTGAGCGCTCTGACAAACGGGGTCCTGCCGTCCGTGCGGTCTCCTCCTCCCTGGCCAAGCTCTCCATCT